CAGCTCCAGCAGCAAATGCTGCACCCAGCAAACCACAGCAGCCCAATGGTAATGTATCAGCAGCAGGTAAGAGTAATTCTGGGCAGGACTTCTGCAATTTGTTTGGTGCAGTGAAAAACTACAGTTTCAGTTTAAAATAGTTCGTTTCCGTACCAGTGCTGGAAGAGAAACAAGGTATTGAAGACTTACCACTAGCTTGAAGAGATGAATTGTTATAAGAGACTATTTTATGACTTAAAATACTTCCCCTGCCAAGTGGGAAGGAAGTAGGAAGGGACTTTGGAAAAAAGACTTGCTTGCAAAGCTATGCAAGCTGAACAACTAGTCTGATGCAATTTTGCATTTTTGAAACTCTGCTCTTTGGATGCTCAAGTAGGCTGCAGTTTGGAGCTGACCAAAAGATGTGTTATCAATGTTGAGCTATTGAGGCCAAACAGCTCAGGTGTTACAGGACAGAAATTAATTTGAAAGTACATCTATAAATACAATTTTTGATGAAGTTTTTCAATGGTGAGATACTGAAAAAGTCAGTCAATGTAAATGTCACTCTGTAGACTTATTTTTAAAGAAAAAAAACTATCCAAGTCCTGACTTTGAATGAAGTTTTAACCTATCTGTGTTCTTTCCCAAACCATTTAAGAAATATTTTGAAATAATAGGACTTACGTTTACTACAACAGAAAATGAGCTTTTCTTAAACATGACTTAAAATTCTACATTTAAACTCTAGTCTCTTTCATGTATAGAATTAGCAGTAGTGCTGTATGTAAAGAAACAGTTTGATTTCCTTAATTGTTTCCCTCAATGTTGTAGATCTAAAGCTTGATGTATAGTGTTTTAGCTCAGTTCACAGCTAACCAACTGTTGGCTGCTTAAATTGTGTTCCACCTGCTTGATCCTGGAGACATCTCCTTTTCTAGTGTAAGTGCTGTAAAAATCTGAGTATTCTGCAAAAGTTTCCAGCCTAGAAAACACTTGTACCCCAAAGCAGGAGTGCTTGAACAAATAGTTTATAGAAACTCAATATGGTGCCACCATAGCAGGGTGAGTGGAGCTTTAAGTGCCTATCCACAGTTAAGTGTGACCTTGGCTTCTGTGCAGCTTCCCATTGCATAGCAGGAAAAATTCTACAGCTGAACTGTGGTGCCCAATGTAGTTCCAGATTTTAACTTGGCTTTTGGCTGTGTTTTCTTCCCTCCCCCCTGAAATTCTCATTTCTGTTATGTTTTTGGAAGCTCCCACTGCTCCAAAGTACCATGCTCCCTCCAAGCAGTTTGGGAAACCAAGTGCTCCCAGCTCAGTGAAGACACCATGTGGCTCCCAGTCCAAAGTCGTGCCAATTGCCAGCTTGAACCCTTACCAGTCTAAGTAAGTTATTTTTATAGGTATTTAAATGTTACAAGTGCAAAGGAGCAATGGCTTATTTTTGCTTTCTCATGTATGATCCTCTGGCAAATCATTCTTTATTAAGTTTTCTTGATTTCATCAGCCAGCTTCAAACCAAACAAAACAGCCCTAGAGGCATGGTGGGGTTTTTTTTGTGTTGTTTAATTTTGTCAACAATTTGATAATCTTTTGAACTTGATGGGTTTTAATTTTTTACTTGAAAAATAAATTGTCTTTTTTGGTAACTTAATACTAAAACAACTAAGTAAGCTGTTGACTTCAGCTTCTGTTTAAAAGCATGAGGATGTAGTTTTTGTGAATAATGTTTTTAAGTTATGCAAGCTGATTTGCTTACCCATGTTAAATATAAAACCTCTAATTGGGCTCTTGAGTTCTAAAATGGCTTTTCAGTACAGGCAAACTGCTATATAGGGAAATGTACCTGAGAAGAGTAAAATACGAGGCCTACTTCTATGCCGAAGGATTGTTCACCGTTATATCTACTGGATATTTTATGTCCGGCTTTGTTGCTGCTTTCTATATAACCTCATTTTTAATGGTCTAGGCCATTAAAATAGAAAGCTGCAGAAAGGCAGGTAGTATTGCTAAGGTTCAGTGGAAAATTCCTAGCTTTTAAATTGTGACATTAAATTTACAAGCCTTTGGAACTTGAATGTCTTCTAAAAAAGAGGGCATAGAATAGTGATTTCTTGCACATTTTCAGGTGGACCATTTGTGCCCGTGTTACCCAAAAGGGCCAGATCCGCACGTGGAGCAACTCCCGTGGTGAAGGAAAGCTCTTCTCTATAGAGCTAGTTGATGAAAGTGTAAGTGTTACGTTGAGAAAATTATCATGTATGCCAGATACTGATGAACCCTTCATAAAGACAGAACAGAGGAAATGAAGTATGTTGTAAAAAATGGCATTGTATTATGGCTGAAATTCATACTCCTGTATTCAGTAACCTGAACATCATCAGCTTTTATTCAGAAAGAAAAGTCTTAAATATATGGCATTACTGGTTACTTTTCATTGAAGTGTGTGACTAAATTCTTGCAGTTTCAAAATATAGTTGTCTATGGAAATTGACAACATAATTAGATTTGTAGTTCCCTTTACATTGAGAAAGAAGTCTCATCTTTGCTTAAATACCATGTTATAAAACAAGGCGTAGGGGAACTATCACCTCCAAAATATAAGCTTTCACTTTTTATGAGAAAATCGGAATATGAATTATTGTAATACTAGGAAATTTCACCTGTGGTTTGTTTGGGGAATGGTATCTGGTTAATCTAACTAAACTTGCAGTTTGTCACCCAAACCTCTCATCAAATTACCGCCTTCAGTTGCAAAAACAAACAAGATTCTGCAAGATTATATATAGTATAAAATGTGAGGTTAATATTACAACATGTTATCATCAGCCATATATTTTCTCTGCATGCTGTCAGCATTCACATTTTTAAAAAAGTAGTATTTATATCTAGTGAATCTATAATTGTTATTAATTGTTACTTAAGGACTTGACATCTTGCATAAGCAGGAGATATCACAATACATCTGTGTGCTTGCTTGTAGAGCAGAGTGATCTATTTGAAACGTGGGTTTTTTGCCTGTAATGGAATACTGTTATTGCCAGCTTTAAGTGTATCTGTTCAGAGGTTTACGTCTGATACGTAATTCTCTTGCATTTCGTTTTGGAGCTATAGATACATTAATGAAAATTAAATGTGAGAATAGAGAATCACATGCAGAATGTCATTCTAGGTCTAACTACAAATGCAAAGAGGTTATTTTTTCCACACATGCCTGGAGCTAACCTGACAGACCACTCTGTAGAACGGGTGCCACTTGAACATTGCAAAGATTTATTTTTTGCCTGCTGAATTTCAGTTCTGACCAGCTCTCCTGTTTTCCTGCAGGGTGAGATTAGAGCTACCGCATTCAATGATCAAGCAGACAAGTTCTTTCCACTCATTGAATTGAACAAGGTACAGTAGCATTGTACTTTCATAGACTGACATGAGCTAAAAAGAGGAGCTTAAGCATAGCAAGGATTTTTAAAGGTGAACACAGTCTATTTTCCCTGTCTGACTTCTGATAATACCCTGTTTTGTTGTTTTCTCCTGTAGGTATATTATTTTACCAAAGGCAATCTGAAGACTGCTAACAAGCAATATACAGCTGTTAAGAATGACTACGAAATTACATTCACTAATGAGACTTCAGTTGTGCCCTGTGACGATGCCCAGCATCTTCCATCTGTTCAGTTTGATTTTGTATCCATCTCTGACTTGGAGAACACGCCCAAAGACTCAATTGTTGGTCAGTATAAATATCGAAATTGGAAACTGTGAGGCTCGAAATTTTATTTTGTCGTGAACCCTGGGGAGGTAGTGAGTGTACGGTGTTTTATGGGCCCTTGAATGAAGTTAGCCAGTGCTGGTTGCCATTAAAAAAGCCTCAGGTAATTTTACTGTTAGGATGTCTTTGTCCTTTTCTGCTAACAATATATACTGATTTATTTGCAAATTTGTGCTTCAAGCTAAAGACAGCAAATGATACTTGTTTATTGTGCACTGAAAAACTCATTGTTTTCTGCAGAAAAGGGCTGAAGGAAAAAATGTCCTTGCTCAGCACGTGTGCATTTCATACCTTCCATGGTCTTGCTTTCTTCTACTATCTAATTATCTCTGTAGTGATTTTTGGCATAATTCCTTGCATCCAAGTCCAAGTTGCATGACTGTTTTGGCTTGCTTTGTGAAGTATTGAGGGTTTGTTTTTCTGTAATTTGTTGGACAGAGTATTCCGGAAAAATCAGAGGCTTGAGTGGGGGCGGGAGTTCTCAGGTTTTGCAGGCACAAGATGCATGTGATTCAGAAGCACTCAGCTAGGAAATTTAAAGGTAGATGTGTATTGTTGAATGTGGTTTATTGTTAGGGAGCACAAGGTGAACTGTGTTAATCCTTGCTTCCCGAACATGCAGACCAGTGAGGATGTTAGTTTCTTCTTTATATTATAGTCGCTTTGAAACCTCTTGGTTGAGACCTGTTCTTGAGCAGTAAGGGAGTGTTGTAGGGTCAGGGCTGGAGCCCTTTGGCAGCGTGGGTTGGGGAAAGGTAGTATGATGTCTTGATATTTTTCTAATGAGATTTGCGTTCATGAATATCTTCATCAACAAAATTAAAGCAAAAAGAGTGCTGTAGTAGAGCTTCTTCCATCAAAAGCATTCCTCCCCTAATATATTCAGTTTCCACATCAGTTTTGATATGAATAGGGAAGATAAGATCTTACAAGCTAAAAACATGCACTGAATTAATTCTTCTCTTTGGTCTCTGCTCATGTGCCCCTATTGTGACCCTTGAGTAATTCTAACTAAACCGTTACTGTTTCTTCAGATGTAATTGGAATTTGTAAGAGCTATGAAGAAGTCACTAAAATTACAGTGAAATCTAACAACAGGGAGGTGTCAAAGAGGAATGTGCACCTGATGGATACATCTGGGAAGCTGGTGACAGCTACGCTGTGGGGAACTGATGTACGTACCTATTTTATTTGTTTTTCAAAGTTCCCTTTTGTAAGGTGAAGAAACAAAGGTGTGGTATGATCTGAGATGGGCATAGCACTGTCTGAGGTGTTCAAGGAGTCAGGGGCAGAGAGGAGAAGGTGAAAGACTGTCTGGTTTCATTCAGGTGCGATATTCTTAACCTTTCTCTGACAAACTGCTGACAAGATCTGACTAATGTGTTCTGAACAACTGCAGACATTGTCTCAAGCCCAAAGACCAAAGATAACAGACTTCTGATTTAGAAAAGGATATGACTTGTAGTTTGATTATGGAAAAGCCCGGTAGCTACAGCTGTCTCATTTTAGATTAATTTTATTCATAGCATGGGGTATTTGTTGCCCTGCATAAACTGTTGCTTACCTAGAGGGGCTGAAAGGCCGTATCTCAAACTGGAAGTGTAAACATCCGACCCAGAGTTGAGAGGCTGGATAGTTGTTAAAAAGGATAAAGAAGCCGCTTACTGCAGACTACTTTATTTTCCAACTGTACTATGGATGCTTAGGTATTTATGTTCTGATCTATAAAATAGGAGGGACCCTGCCAGTTTGACAGTGGTGCTTTATAGCTAAATGATCAAGTACACGGATATTGGAGGTATCTAAACACTGTTAACTATCTGCTGATATAAATGGAGTAAACTAAACTTCACTGTTACAAAGTTCTGAGGCTGGTGCATCTCCCTATAGGAAGGGCTACTGACTGTTTGATTTCTGGTGTAACTCTCCAAGGAGAGATCAGGGATGTGCCTTTTTACAATGTTAAATCCATTTTCTTACTTGTAGAATAGTGGTGTTTACAGGCATTGAGGGGAAGGTGGCTTATTTAAAGCTGTGTGATTTGCAGCTGGTGAGGTTGGAATTCATATGCCCCCATAGTAGTCAGTACCTTTATTGCTCAGATATGTGTTCTTTATGCATCTCATAGATCCTTGCTGCTTAAGTGGTATGGGATCCAGAAGAAAATATGCCTTTCAAAACCCTTCTATAGTACCAAGAGGTTCTTGTTGGGCAGTGTCTGTATGTGTGACTTTATTCACATAATAAACTGGTGGTGACTGAACAGCTTTAGTGTCTCTTTTTGAGGTTAAAACTGAAAATGGAGTAACAATGAAAAGTTTTGTCCACATGTCTAGGCTTCTTGCTTTGTAAACAGCAATAGGCTCAATCAAGCCAAGTAAAGGGTGATTTAATCTTCTGAAAAGTTTTCTCTAGCTAAATTTCTCCTGTTTGGTGAAGCCTTCATTGTTTAGACCTATCCGTCTTTCTAAAATGCTAGTGTAAAACTCCTGATGGAGGAGACCAAGTCCTTTCTTTCCGAACCAGTGGTCTGCAGCTGTTCTGTATTAGGATCCAAGGATTTGGGGATTTTTTTGCCTTGGTCTCATATAAACTCTTAATGATAGAGTTTAAAACTATAAGTCTTAAAGGAAAATAGTTTAGTTTAGATTTGTTCTCTTGTCATGATCTGTGAATTATAACCACAAGTTCAATACCATTTACTGCAGTGTCACTAATGTTTTTTGTCTTTTCACACATACAGGCTGAAAAATTTGATGGTTCTAGACAACCTGTGATAGCCATCAAAGGAGCCAGAGTCTCTGACTTCGGTGGTAGAAGCTTGTCTGTCCTGTCCTCAAGCACAGTTGTCATCAACCCTGATAGCCCAGAGGCTTTTAAGCTCCGAGGATGGTATGACTGCTTGTGTTGATTCATTGCAGCCTGCTGTGGAATCTCTCTTTGTTTCTCTGCTATTCTCTTTGTTTTTCTGTACTCCAGCAGTCTGTAGACTGCTGAAAAAAGGGAGCAGAAGATAAGGGTTCTACAGTTACGGAAACTTCTCAAAATCACTAGGGACTGAAAGGCTGTCTTTTTTAAGCTGTTCAATTCACAAACTTGTAATTCCGTGACAGATCTTGAAGAATTGGAGTAGGAGTAGCGTATGCTGACCCAGAGCCTTGGAAGGCAGCATGAAATCAGGCTTTTGACTAACTCTGCTTTCTGAGGTGTTAGCTGGGAGACCAACATTTTTTTTTTTTCCACAGGCTTTTTCTGTTATGTGGAATCTGCTATGTACTCAGATATGGACTGGAGGATTGTGTCAACTTGCAGACTCTGTTCCTTACCTGATATTCTTCAGATAGTAACACTTTTATCTAAGTCACAAAGCAAAGTAGCTTCATAGTGACATGCAATTGCTTCTAGGGTAGGAAGTTACTCTGCTCTCAGTGCACCCCATGCCACTGTTTTAGTATGTACTAATAGAGGACAGTGCCTAAAGCATTCAGCTTTATTAATCCAGTGTTTAGGTTTTGCCTGAATCCTCCACACATGGATAAGTTGCTTGGGTTGGCATTCTGTTTTGCAAATAGCCCGTATTTTTTTCTGTGCTAAAGAGGGTTGTTGAAGATAAAATTGATTGTGGGTCTCAGATATTACTGTGACATTTTCATTAAGCTCAGGTTTTGAGTCCTGCTGGTGTGTGCAGTCTGTGGATTAGCAATACGGGCGCACGTTGTGCTGCGTGAGGACAAGGTGGCATGTCCTCCCAAGAACTGAAAAACTACTTGATGAGAAGCAAAAGCGAAGAGGAAAAAAGTTCAAGTGCCCTGTGGTTTTTCTATAAGACCACGGGGGAAAATACCTGTGATCTAAGATTCTGGCTTTCTGGCCCTGTTCTGAAAGGGCATCAAATCTGAACAAATACCTGATAATTCAGCCCAGAAGATGGCTGAGCAGAGCCACTTCTCAAACCTGTTGGTGCCACTCGGTTCACCGACATGTCAAGACTTCTGAACGAGTTTTTTCCATCATCCTTCTCCTAATGTATTCTGAATCGTAAGCAGGATAAAGAGCATGATAATTCAGCCTCTAGTTCTTCTATTTTATTTTAATACTCTAGAGATCTTTGTGTGAGGTAGGACTGACATGAGGAGATGTATATTTGAGCCATGACAGCTGAAACAGCTTTGCTGAAAAACAATGTAATGCTATGTATAAAATATGTAATAATATGGTGCAAGCTAAAACCAGCAGTCTTTCTGCAGAGCTTACACTCAAAATTGGGCAAGATGTGATTCAACTACTAGTCATGTTACTATACCCAGGTGGAAACAATTCTTTAAAACAAAGGCAATTGTGCCTGTAAAGTTTCAATAAAAAGCCCTGTTTTTAGAAAACAAAGCCACCTGGCTAGGATGCTAGTACAACCTTTGAAAAGCAGTGCTTTCTTATTTTAACATGGGGAGCATAATCTGTTCCGTGCTGTTTTGTTTTCCTTTCAAAGCTGCTTCAAAGATAATGGTACCATGTAATTTAATTTTAATTATGGAAATATCTTGATGCCCTTAAATCTTGTTATCTGACTGCCTTTAAGAAGCATGCAGTGCATGGTTTGACCACTAGCTGGCAAACAAATAGCAGCTATACAGAACAAAGCTGCCCTCCTTTTGTGAGTTTATAATATACTATGCTAATTAAGCCAGAGTATTAACTTATTCTGAAATGCTATTTTTGTTTGCACTGTAACCGTTTTCTTTGAAATCATTGATTTTTAAAGAAAATCCCCCTTCTATTAAATATATGAAACAAAATGTAAGGTTTTGATCAATCTGTGTCGTTTGCTATCAAAAAACAAAGTGTACCCTTTATGCTTCCAGGTTTGACTCCGAGGGGCAGCTTTTGGAATGTACCTCCATCTCTGATGTGAGGGGAGGACCTGCGACTGGGGGAAATACCAACTGGAAAACTCTATTTGAAGCCAAATCTGAGAACTTGGGACAAGGAGATAAGGTAAAGCATGGCAACTGAATCCGAGGCCAGGCTCTGTATAGTTTAGGCATGGAGAAAGCTACATTTCATACAGGTGTTCTGCCCAGTGGTTGAGCAATATATGCTTATTTTTTCAGTGTGTAGGAAATTAAAGTTAAAAAACTAAATTCAGAAACATTGCAGATGTCACAACATGGTACTAAAGTTTGCAGGAGAATTGAGCCCTGCTGTGTAAATAGCCAGTTGCATAGCTGTTTATATAAGTAGCACAAAGTATTATTGGAGAAAGAGGTGCATTAAGAGGAAGTGGTTTTCAGGGGTACACAATTGGTCAATAGACAAGCTAAGAGTAAGACCCAGGTCTCTGACATTCCAGTCCAGTGTTCTGTCTAGACTTACACTGCTTCCTGATTTATTTATTTATTTCAAACTTAAGTGCCGAGCCATTCAGGATACTTGAAAACTTCTCCTTGAGGGAGAAACTTCACCTGGAATTCAGCTATTTTATGTGAGATTTTTTGCATATGCTTCTTAAGCAGCCTCTGTTTATCTGTTGAAAGACTTGATTGTGGTCTTAAGCCATTAGAATAACTACTTTTGTATGGTGAATGGGTATTTTGTTCTGTGGGTATAGTTTAACCAAATGCTTATCTGTAACACTCCACAGTAGGTTTTCTTTATTTGTACTGACTCCCAAAAGAGGCATAGGAAAGTGCAAAATCTTAATCCTGTGAAAAATGGAGATTTGAACAGAAACAATGGGAAAAAGCAAATATGCTTTATCTGAAGCAAACCTGGCAATTGGAATTTCTCTCAATGGAAACACAAAATAACCTTGCTATAAGGACTTTAATTAACATAATGGAAGCCTGGAAATCATTGCAACAGAAGGGTTGATTTACAGTTTTCCAATAATCCATATCTGTTAAGCCTTTTAATCCTAAACATCCAAATATGGATACCAGGCTTTGTAGTTAATTCAGAATTAGAAAACATTGAGTATTTTGAGGCTAATGTTGCACACTCACCCTCCTAGGCGGATTATTTTAGCTGTGTGGGCACAGTGGTACATCTGCGCAAAGAGAACTGCATGTACCAGGCATGTCCCTCTCAGGATTGCAATAAGAAAGTGATAGACCAACAAAATGGACTGTACCGTTGTGAAAAGTGCGATCGTGAGTTCCCCAACTTCAAGTACCGCATGATGCTTCTGGTAAGTAAATGGATTAGAGGAGAGGATGCTTCTCACCACCTTCTTTCCTTGCACAGTTTTAAAAAAAAAAAAAAAACCCTTTTCAGAGAGTGTGGTGATAGTGTTTTTCACCTATCTATGGTGCCTGTGGATTAGAGGATACTTAAATGGTTTGTATGCTGCACCTGAGTGAGGAATGTTTCATTGAGCTGATTAGCAGTTTGTTTTCCTAGTGCTCCAATTAAAAGCTTTGCTCTTTGCCAAAAAGTTGATGCTAGCTCAGTTGATTTTGGTTTCCAAGTGTACTATGCAGTGCAGAGTACAGATGGCCTACGCCTCTTCAGTAGTGAAGATAAACTGAAGTAAAATGGCATTTCTGGAGAGCAGTAATTGCACTTTTACAGCTGCTACCTATATTTAGTACATTCTTTTGTAGGTATTGTTCTGTCTCATGCATTAATGGAGCTGCTTCTGAGCTGCTGTCTGAGGATTGTTGTTGTGATGCTTGCTTACACTGTGAGCATTGAACCTTTCTCTGTTTTACATTATAAATTAGAAGTTGTATCTGCTGCTTAGAAATTCAGTGCCAGGCGGGCATGCAGAGAGAAGGGAGCTATCCCTGCAGTCTCACTGAAGCACACAATACTCTCAAATAATTTCTAGCAGGTAACTTCTAGGAATACATGAACTGCTTGACACAGCAGAATCACTCTCGGAGAAAATAGAGGTACTGAGGGTACAATCGTAGGAACAGCTTTTCTCCTATTTTCCCATTCCTAATTATCAAAGCCAGGGAATGCATGAGGCTAATCCTTAATGAACTGCTTGACATAGCAGAATCATTCTCAGAAAAAATAAAGGGGTACTGAGGGTACAATCATAGGAACAACTTTTCTCCTATTTTTCCATTCCTAATTATCAAAGCAGCCAGGGAATGCATGAGGCTAATCCTTGATCTTTTTACTATTCTTTCATGCCCTTGAATGTTTTGGTAGTCTCCTCGTATCATAAAAAGCATAGAGTATTATGTTCAAGTTCTCTTGTATATATTAAGTAAATGCAGGTTGCAGTTTTGCTGGTGTTACTCTTGGTTATTGCCATTCTGGGTTGCCTGTTCTTGCTCACAGCTCATCAGTGACAGCAGAACAGAGCTGAACCTCCATCACTGTGTACCAATATCATCGTGTTGGCCTTTCTCTGTGACTCAATTTATAATGTACTGTCAATATTAACTTGCTTTAAATTACTATGACATTCTGTGCAGCTATAAAAAGAGCTGTTGCCTTCCACCCTCAGTGAAGAAAGTACCTACAGAGCATTGGGCTCTCCTAGTTACTTGAAATAAAATTATCTTCAGCTCTAAAATGCATTTTTCTTTTGTGTTGCTTTTCTTGAGTAATGCACAGCTGGATGAAGTCACTTTTTCTTTTCCCCCTTTCAGGTGACTATTGCAGACTGCCTGGAGTATCAGTGGGTGACTTGCTTCCAAGAGTCAGCAGAATTCATTCTTGGGCAAAGTGCTGCTTTCCTTGGAGAGCTGAAGGAAAAGGTAGTCCATCAGCTTACTGCTTTTTTAGCAGATGTTTAGAATTTGAACTATACTTCACCCATCTTACATGACTGTCCTCAAATTTCTTGTGTTTTTCTGATCCCTCTGTAAAGAAGTTGTTCTTATAGTGTTATTTTTGAGGGCAACTTGGAGAAAAAGGTAAGGTGTGTGGTATCTTAGTGCTGATCCTGCAGGGAGCGTGATCTCATGCCTGTGTATACACATAGCACTCAAGTCAACAAAGGTAGCAAAGGAACTGGGGTATGTTCATGTAGTTTTTATGGAAGTATTGACTTTGTTAAATACAGAAGGGGCACATGAGAAGGTTATTCTGCTGTATTTGGCAAGAACTTGATCTTGCCTGTGCCCCGAGCTGATGAGCTAACTCGGGCCTTTCAGTTAAAGATTTTTCCTCCAGATGTTGGACTTCAGTATCTCTTACAAGATCACAAATCATTGCTTCTCCCTGCTCTGAAGTTCTTGGCAGGGACTTGTTTACTCTCCTCAGGATTATTTTCCACAGGCCATCTGCCTGGAGAACAGAGATTTCCCCCGTATTTTGCTCCCACAGTCAGTCTGTCTACCCTGTCTACCTCTGAGCTCTTTTGGCTGTTAAAAGCTGAAGATCAGCCTGTCCTCGTCACCTGGACCTTGAGAGACAGCTGAGCACTTGTGGCTAGTGCTACAGCCCTTAGAAGGCTGACAGATTTAATACATGCTGAATAAAACAGAAAGGACAGGCTGTTTAATCATTGTACTTAAACTAAAAGAATCTACAATGTTTTACTCGGGAATGCTAACAATATTATTTCTAATACGTTCCAAAAACTTGTTTACAAAACCAAAAAGTTCCAGAACACTTTGTATGCATCTTTTTAAGTAGGCAGGGAGCTTTTTGAACTAATGTGTGTTAGCCCACTTCTCAGGCTCCTTATTTTTCTTCCACTGAATATCATCAGAAACTTTGTGGGCCAAAAATTATGACTTAAAATAGGTCATTTGTAGAGTTACTTAACTAATTGTTTCTTCTGACAGATTAGAAGGGGGTTTTTAAGGTAGTTGTAAGTCCCTAAACAGTACCCAACAGTATTTGGTTCCCTCTGTGCCTATAGGCTTCTCTACTGCATTTTCCTTTCCTCCCACCAAAATAATCTTTTCCTTTCTAGTTGCCAGCTACATAAAGTATATGTTTTTAATTATATGGAAAGCATGAGTTCTTGAATGGTGTGTGAGCACTGGTCTAGAGCACTTGCTGTGTTCCCAGCTAAGGCTACAGCGTAGCAGATAGCAGGGCTCTGTGGATATAGCAGTTGTTGGTAATCCTGTTTCTTGGCTGTGGGAGGAAATGAACCGGGAAGGATTGCGGAGTCTGTAATTGCGGCTGCCCTGAGGCACGCTTGTAGACCCCATCCACTCCTGCAAAGCAGGGTTAGTTTTTCTATAATTTGCAGGCAAGAATGACTCTGGAAATTTCTTCTACTTTTACTCTTTGAGGTAAGTGATATCAAGCTGGTGGTTGTTGGCTGCTAAAAGTTTGTGTGGTGTCATGAAGGCTGGACACCTCTGCTTTGTTGGAAGGTATATTGCCAGGGTATTCTAATTAGATGTGCTTGCACTTTTAAATTTCCATTTTCAGACATTCTTAATTTGTCAATATTTTCTTTCTTCAGAGACGCTTAATCTCTGCTAGAGTTCAAACAAAATTTCCTTGTCATTTTTAAAGCTGAGGGGACCTGGATGGGGAAGGAGATAGCAGTTGCAGTGAGGATGCAAACTTGCAGTGTCTTGTGAAGAGCTGAGTAGTGGAAATGGCTAGGCTAGAAAATGAAACACAACATGGAATGAGCCCTTGACCAGCAATGCTTTGTGTTCCCGAAGAAATTGCTTTTGTTATGTTCATGAGCCTTTAAAAAAAGACCTTGATGCATTTTCAGTAAACCTGTTTTAGTGGGGTTTTTTAAAGATCTGATGCAGTGTCCTGTGAAGTTGATAGAAATCTTTCCACTGCTTAGAGTGTGTCTAAACATAGATACATCTGCAAAGTTTTCTATCTACTTTTGTCATTTATTCCCAAAACTTGGAGGATAGGTAGGGTGACAGTGGCTGGAACACTAACAGTGTTTTCCACTCACTGAAGTTTAGTCTGACAGAGCTGAGAAGAGAAGCCAAAATACTCTGCAAAGTAATTTTCTTATCCTCTAATCCATGTGATGGTTAGAAGAAAATTTTTAATATTCAGAAAGGATATGCCTAAATTGTGCGGTCTGAAAACTAGCTACTCCTATTCGCCTTCATTTGTTATGCCTTTCTAGATCTTAGAGGAGTCGCCTTATATTGTAAAATAGTGCTGCATACATTAAAAATGACAAATGTAACTCTTGGAATATAAGAGAAATTGAGATGGGTTCAACTCCAGATCAGATAGTCTATCTGCTTCCGGGCTGACTGATCCAAAGTCAAGTGCATTTGCTAGATACACATGCATCAATACTTATTTGTTTATATCATGGTGGGCCTGTGGAAATTTTTTTTGAATGTCAGGAAATGTTTTTACAACTAATTTATCAGATTAGGCTGCTTTTCCCAGTCTCCACAACTTGTCTGATTTGTCCTTCTTGTGCTGTTCTTGAGAAATGGCACGTGGTAAAGTGATGCCTATAATAAATAAAGGATAATGTTTAGTATTCATGTGCTGATTAGAGGAGATCATATTAAATTAATAAGGTAAACTATTTCTAATGAGTATAAGAGCATATTCAAAACATACAGTGACTTTCTTATGCAGCAGCCTCATAAATAGGTCTGTGTCAGGATGTGAAGGTTACATAAAGTCTTGGTGGACAGACACAGAGACTGGATGTCTTAACAGGCTGTTAATAAGGAAATAGTT